CTCCGGTGTTACGTCGAGGATCCCTTCCTTTCTCTGGCACATTTGACAAAAAAAGGCATGCACTGTGGCCCCTAGGAAACCCACGGCTCACCTGGCTCCCCCTCCCCAATTACAGCCAGAACAGCCGCCGTCCTTCACCGCGCCCCGCAAAGCGCGGGGAAAGGGACGAGGCTGTGTCAAACCCCCCGTTACAGGCAGAGGGAACGTGGCCAGTGCCCGGTTACCCCGAGGTGGACACAGACGGCACGTTGCATGGGGGGGACACACGCAGACAAACGGGGGCAGTTTCCTCGCATTCCTCCCTCTCCCTCTCTGATCCAATCTGTGTATGCATCTACACGTATACACAGCTCGAGAGGCGCCGAGAGCTCCGAGAGCGCGAGGAAAAATAAGGAGAAAGCTTTCCCTGAATATAGGTGGGTGGACATTCGTGCCCGCGTGTATTCTGGATATAATACATCTACACGCCGACGGATCTGGGCATGCATGCACACACACACGCACGCACGCACCCGCACGGGAGCTTCCCGGGCAGCGTGCCTCGGCTGTCGGAATAGCGCAGGTAATCGCGATAATATTTTACAGCCCGGAGATCTGTCTTCGCGGCCGAGAGAGCGCCGGTGCGGAGGCGAGCAACTTCGGCGGCGGCGGTGGGTTCGCTTTGGGTTTTAAAGCCGGTCGGCAGAGTGCGGGGCTTAGGAGGAGGTGAGAAAGGAAGAGTTACCTTTGTTGCTGCTTTCCTTCAGCTGGGAGGAAGCCAGGCTGGCTGGGGAGCGGAGCGCGGAGCAGCCCACCTCCACATCGCTGTTCATCTCTGCCTCTTGGGCGACTTCGGAATAAAGGCTGATTTTCTTCCTGCTTTCCGACGGCGGGATTTCGGAGGTGACGGTGCTTTCGCTGCTCGGGTGCTGGAGGTTGAATAAAGTGTCTATTTCAAATTTGCTTTTGGCGGAGATGTCCCCTATCGTGCCGTGCAGGGAGGCGGCAGCCAGTCTCGGGCTGAGGCGACCACTGTGCGGAGAATTTTCGAGGGCCTCCAGCACCGCATTTCCAGCTGAGTCTGACAAATTCGAGAGCCTTTTGCCAGCTGTAGGGCTGTGCAGCCCTCTCTCCATCAGGATCATCTCTTTTCTTATTCTTTCCATCATCTCAGCTTTATAAAAAATGTCAAAGTTGCAGGGCTGGTCCTGTGCTAATGATGAGCTGCAGCAGGGGCTAATTCACATTCAGCCCGGCAAGTGTCTCTAAATATTATTATCTCTTTTTGAGGGAGGCGTAAAAATTGTGGGATGCCAAAGCGAGGGAATGACTGGTCAAAATGACCCATACATCCTTTCTAGCCCGAAATGTCATTCATCAAAAAGTGCTGCTCGTCATTAAGGTACGAATGACGCTGTTCGAATAATCATTTATTGTAACAGGTTTATAAGCAAATAAATACAAGCTCCTGTCAGTGGATAATGAAGGCGGCTTCAGAGCAGACAAATATATCCAGGTGGAAAGAAAGAAAGACAAGAAGTGAGGAGTAAAGCTCTTGTCCTTAGCTTGATCAGATCTTGCTTGAATTGCTCTGGGGTTTGGCCTCTGGGGTGGAATTGACAGTCTGATTAATAAAATGAGCTGTGCAACATTTCCCCCTTCATTTAGGTGCATCATTATGCTCTGATTTTTGTTTTGTTGCCTTTTAGGTCCTAATGATGCAGCTTCTTTCTCATTTGTCCTCGGACAGAACTACATGCTAAATATTAGATAACGCTTTTCTTTATTATTATTTCCGAGGCGGATTTTAGATCGCAACGCGAGGAAATGCTGGAAGAGGAGCAGAGGACCGAGAACCTCCCGCCGCTGACATCTCTTTACTTTTCCCTCCCATTTCCAGACCGCGTTAGCACTTTTATTTAGGAATTTACACGGACACCCCCACGCACCCCATCACACGCGGGAACCTTATAACCGGACTTTCTAACACCGCTGCTGCCGGCAGCGCACCGACTTGAGTGCACCTTCAGCAGCTGCCTGGGAATCAGAATATTTGTTGTAATCTGATGTATTGTGATTCTAACATATTTTTCTTCGTTGCGTCCTTAAACACGATCTCCTTTATGCTGTCTGTAATCCTGCTTATCGACGGAGTTAGCCTGCTATTTTTCCCCCCCCCGGGACAACACTGGGACAACACTGGCTGTGGCAGGGCAGGAAAGCGGGGGGAATAACCGAGGGGCATTAAACGCATTCGTGTTTTAAAACACTCCGCGGCCGCGCCGTTTCATCCTCCCGGCAGGTTCCTTTCCTGCTTCTTCCCTCCCCACGGCCAGTAAGGTCTACGCGTTTAAAAATAACAAGAATAATAAAATAACCGTGGAAACCAGTGCAGGGGGGTTATTGCCTGCGGGCTCCGGGCTGCAGAGGCACCCCCGAGGCACCCCCTCTGCGGAGTTACCTGTGGCTCGGAGCGCTCCCCCCTCCGCGCTTTGCCGGGTGCCGCGCTGCGGGGATGCGGCTCGGCAGAGGTGACAGCCGGGAAAGCCTCCCTTCAGTGAGAACTTTGCTAGTAATAATGACGCTGATGGCAACCATTTAAACGAAGATAAATCCTTCGTCGTTAGCGTGTCTGGAGTGCTCTTCGATAGCTGCCCAACCTTTATTCTCGCCGTGTTTTGTTTTGTTTTTTTCACCCGCATCACCTCGTATTAAGACCCGGGAATCGGAGTTTCGTCGCCCGGGGAAACTCCCCAGTGTTTCCTGCGATTAAACGCGGGTTTGATCTGTTTTGCGAGGAGAGCCGTTCCCGCTAGTGCTGGTCACACACATCGCCTAAGTTCTTGCGCTCTTGCACATAATTCATAGCTCGAAAATGGGATACTTGTCAGATTATTTTTTTTTTAATAATTTGTTAAAGTCTCCCTAAACATTCCACCGAATACTTAGGAAACATTCTGGGCGTTGTTTGCAAAATCCAGCCTTCCATTAATGAGCGGTTTATGTCAGCCCTTTGAAATGTGAATTTAGACTGCGGTGTGGTGTCCCGCGTTTTACAGCCCCCAAACCAGACAAAAAGTAAATAACGATTTTTCCTTGCCCGCGGACCGATGCGGAGGGGAGCGGAGAGGGACGCTAGCCGCAGGGGCGGTGGGACGACACAGCCCCCCCCGTCCCCCCCGGAGCGCGGGTCGGAGGGCTGATGCCCACCAAGCCGTGCCCATCCCCATGACACCATGCGAGGACACCTGGGCCCCTCGAGAGCCCCCGGCAGCAACACTCACCCTGCTGATGGCCAGGAGGAAGTCAAGCTTGTGGGACTTGGGGACAGAGTGACGCAGCTTCCAGTAGACGAGGTGCTCCCAGGCGAAGACCAGCAGGCTCAGCCCCATGGCCACCAGCAGCATGTAGAAAACCCCGGCCATGTTGTCGATGTCCAACTTGCTGCTCATCACTTCGTTCTTCTCGTTCTGGCAGATCCCTGACGGCCTAAGCCGGCACGGCTTCAGGCTCCAGAAGTGTCCCCGCGCCGAGAAAAAGGCGGGAGAGCTTTTCATTTCCTTCGGAGAGGATGGAAGAGGCTGTACGAAAAGCCTCAACGTGAGAAAAAGAAGTTACACGCAAGTGCCGCTGTGAATGGTCTTTATTAGTGTTATTTTATATTTTGCACCTTTTCAATAATACTGATGGCTTAGGTTATGCGTCTTAAAATACAGCTACATTCACACGCAAGGGAAATAACGTATCATAAAAGACGTTAATAATCTTCCGCTGAGCAGACGCGAGGTAACGAAACATTTCCCTGCCAGGCGGTTCGTCCGCTCGCCCCAAACCGCCAGCCCGGGCATCCGGTACCTGCGTTCCCGGCCAGCTCGACGCGCTTACCGCACCCGTGTTCATCTGTTCGGGTTGGGTTTTGTTTTGGTTTGCTTTTGTGTGTGTGTTTCTTTCGCAGAAAACAACAACACAGCCGAAAAACCTTTCTGCGTATGTTTACAGCTCTCCGAAACCAAGCGCTCAGCCGAAGGAGCCTCCGGCATCACAGTGACATGAGCGGACAAGGCAGGGGTTGAGGGGGAGTTACAGAGTTTACTCAGTTGTTCGTGTAAGTTTAAATAGCTGCTTAGGCCTCCGGCCAAACTTCTTTTCATTTTTACCTTGAAAGTTATTACTAGAGGCATCAAAGAATATTTCAGGGCTCGTTTATTAAATCTTGCCCGGGAAAAAAGAGGTCACGCAACTTAATTGAAATGAAGTTCCCATTAAAAGAGCC